ACCATGGAAAACTTTTTTTCTTTCTTTCTTTCTTTCTTTCTTTCTTTCTTTCTTTCTTTCTTTCTTTCTTTCTTTCTTTCTTTCTTACATTTATATAGCCGCCCATCTTATAAAACTCTGGGTGGCTCCCAACCAACAGTTAAAACAACATAAACATACCATTAATACTTAGAGAGGTCTATTAAAGCTACAAACTTTAAAACCTGGCACCAAGTTAAACTTTCACATGCAGTCCATTACTAAGTCCTCTTAAGTTTATCCTAACTATTCTGAATGTTAACTATTAGAATACTCTGTTAGAATATTATAGTATATTAGAATATACTATAGAATATTAGAATAGAATGTTAACTATTAGAATAGATAATGATTCAGAATGTTGACTATTCTGTACAGAAGCCTGTTATTTCGTAACACCCACACCCCATAAACCATATTTCATAATCCCCCCCAAGATATTCACCCCCCTCCACCATGTTCCATTACCTAAATCTGAGTAGTAGACTACTATTCCTACATAGTATAATACTAATATTATAACGCTACATAATGTGGAAAAGATTTCAGTTGTTAAACCTGGTATCATTTATTGCTGCCATCTCAAGATTTCTGGCACTTTGAAGTGTCTGTTCTGCTTCAACTTTTATACCGCTCCCTTAATCCTGTGTCATGGAGTGAGAAGTCTGTAATCTGTGCCTTGATTAATTCCATTAAATTATTCACTGCTGGAAAAGAAAGGAAAAATAGGATCCAGGCATCTTGTGAGCAGGCCGATTATGTGACCCTGCGTGCAACCAGCGAGGGAAACCCTGCGATTGGTACCCAGAACCCAACCAGGGGATAGGAGGGAAAAGTGAAGATGGGAAAAGCGAAAGTTCTGCCACGCAGAGAAACTGCATGTCCAGGGAGAGTCGTGGGCGCTTTCTGAGCACTTGCACTTCTGTCTCCGGTTGCCTTTTCTGGCTGGGAAGCAGGAGGAGCGTGGGGCCGAAGCGGAGGGCAGAAAAGAGATGCAAACGTTGGAGAGCCCAGTGTTGCCAGATGCCCAAAACTTAATAGCCCAACCAGTCTCAAAATTTAGCCCAAAAGTAGCCCAAATGTCTGAAGAGAAGTTATGCAAAGAGATTCTGCGGATGTGTGCATTGACTTTATTAGTTAAATTACAACTATTAATAAGTAACTTTTAATTAAAGTCAATGGGGAGTCTCATTCCGGCAAGGAAGGTCGCAAGTCAACTGGGTAAGTCTCCCCCTCCCCCCACCCGCCTTTCTTAGCTCGCACACACCGCGCCCTCCTTCTCCCCTTTGCTGGCACCCACCACCCCACACCCCCTTTCCCAGCCCCCCTGCGCTGGCATGCACCCCGCACCCTCCTTCC